TGTACCATAGTAATTTTTTTAATACTTTCATTTTTTATTATGCTTACCTAGTTGTTTATTTTATTGTTTTTAAGAAAAAAAATTGAAAGTGTAATGTTGTAACGGAAAGAAATGATAGAAATATACTAAAATAGCAACACACTTTCATCCATTTTTATTTTAGTGTTATTTTTGCATTTAGTTTTTAACGAAAAAGAACCCAATTACATGATGGGTTATATGGCAAATCTAATTCAATACTTTCATATTTTCATGTTTACTCAATGGTTTCTTTTGTTGCTTTAATGTAAAACCGGTAGAAGTGCAATTACTGAAAAGCCTCTATGCAAGGTTGTCAACAAATGTTTATTTTTTTTTTTTATTTTTTTTTTTTGATGTTTTAAAACTCATAAGCGATTTTAAAACTATTAACTAATATGTAATTTGGAGATTTACAGTATCTTAATTATAATTTGGTATATAAATATGAAATATCATTCGTTACCTATTTTCTTTGTGATTATTCCAATTTCATTTTAGACAAAACATCTATCTTTGTAAATTAATATAATTTTTAACATAATTTATTAGTCTTTACGATTTGGAATTATCAATAGTGTTTGTTTTTCAACCGTGGTTTCCACCACGGGTTTAAACCTAGTATATATATATATATATATATTCCTTATGTACGTGATTATCGATACAATACAATAAACAATATTTGACAAAGTTTGTTTGGTCTAGAGCAATAGTAAATAATAATCCTTCTTACACAACTATGGTTAAAAATTAGATATGAACAAAAAGACCGATTTTGACCGGTCTTGAAAAAAAAAACCGAGACCTAACTATTTAAAATTGGATCGGTCTGAAAAAAAAAGCACAAACCTAACTATCTAAAATTGGATCGGTCTGAAAAAAAAGCACAAACCTAACTGTCTAAAACTGGAATAAATGATTTTGAAACCAACACGGGATCGGTCTAAAAAAATACTGATACATATAGGGTGTGTTCGGCACGGAGCGTTTGTGAGCTTCTAGTTTCTAGCGTTTGACAAAACGCTACATTTTAAACATAAAACCTTGTTTGACACTACAAGTTTCTAGCGTTTAGCTTAAACAAACCACTTCAAATCCAAATGCTACTTCACGTATTGTTTAACAAACGCTGCCAGCTATTTTTGCCGGACACGCCCATAATCTCTTTGTTAATTACACATTTTAATCACACATTACCCAACCTTTTACCTTCTTTCTTTTTTATAAATTCAAGTGTGTCATTTTTATTAAATTTTAATGTATCATTTTGATATTAATCCCATATTTGTTAATGGAAAACTCGAAACAAAAACCAAAGAACCAAACCAAAAAAGGCGTATGTAACGACCATGTGATCGGATCGAAAAAGACATGACCGAAAATGAGCGATTGAAAAAAATCTGGATCAAAAATATGATCCAGAACGACACGACCACCAATATACATCAACAAAATACACTAATTTAAAGAAAAATACTTCTACTTCTTTAAATTTCTTCCACATTCCTGCTAATATTGATGTATGTGAACAAGGTTTTTCATCTAAGTTGATTCAAACATTTAATAAATTGTTAACTTTAATGGTAGAATATATAGTTCGTTCAAATATAACTGGTTCCAAAGTGTATTTTTTTATGTTATCTCATGATATTTTTTATTCTTTCAAGTTTTTTTTGAAAGAGTTATTCTTTCAAGTTTTGAAAGCGAAACGGTTGTTTTGCTACTTTTTTAATTCGTTTTTATTGAATTACTAGTTGTGAGACCCGTATACTGTACGTGTTGATTAAAACAAAATGTTAAATTGAAACGATTAAGTGGGAAGTTTATTTGAATTTGAAATATGAAATAAGTGAAAATTATGAGAAATAAAAACATGCGAGAAATAAATAAATTAAAGTTATGTGTTATTGTCATACATGTGTACTAAATGGGTTAATTTTAACAAAATGTTAAATACAAAGGTTTAAATGGTAAATTTATTTGAAATTGAAATTGAAATTTAAAATTTAAAATTTGAAATTAATAGTCATTATGATAAGTTTAATTTATGGAAACTAAATTAATGATATATTGGAAAATGAAAAATGAGTAATTGACAAGTGCAAAATAAATATATCTCAAAATTATAAAAGAAATGACATGTGACCAATTGAATGAGAGGATGACATGTGACATAATCATTATTATTTATTAGGGTAGATATCCAAAAAATATAGTTCGCAACATTAATCGAGTTATTATTTATGATTTACTTTGATTTTTTATACATTTTGTTTAATTATATCAATATATCTATAATTTGATTGATTTTTCAAAATATAATGTCCTAATATGCTAGTTTGCTACTATTTTGTATTAATTTATTACTGTGTTTCATTTTGCATGTTTCGAGCCCACTTTCCGAGTATTAATTTACTAAAACCTTTACAGTCGGTGTTGACGTATCCCATCAGGACTACGTCAGGTATAACAGAATCGTCAATTTGATAGACAGCCTGGGCAAAAGTTGGTGCACGTCTAATGCCGCGTCCTCGTCCTCGCCCTGCACAACCCTGTGTTCGTTTCTTGGCGCCCAAGCGCCAAAGCCAGCGTCAAGACAAAATAGTACCAGACGTACTCCAGAGCGAAAGGTGTAACGCTCAGGACGCTGATCCCCTAGTAAGCCTGCACTAATAACAAACAGCCACTCACGGAGCACGATCCACTAATCGGAAACCTTCTGTCCCTGCCAGACCATAAAAAGTAGAAGATATGGTTGGGGCTCTGTCCCCCAGATTTCAGGTATAAAAAGGTCCCTTCTCCTCCAAGAGAAGGGACCAACATTCAACATTTCACCCTTTGTCTCATACTTTCTCACCCTCTCATTAGAGCCTTGAACTGACTTGATCATCAGAGCATCGTTCCGGGACAACCTCCCGGACGACGACTGACGGTCTTGTTTTCTTTGCTGTGATTCTCAGGCCCCTTTTTTCCATCCCTCACGGAGCAGGAATCGAGCCGAAGACATATCACAACAGTTGGCGCCATCCGGACGTACACCTAGTACAGCACACCCCACTTCGCAACACTAGGCGTCGGAAATGATGGATAAAGGACCAATACAGCAGGAAGGCGACAACAATAGCCCGGTGAGACCAATGCAGTCCCTCGACGGAAGCGGTCCGTCGACACTGGAGGGACAACAGCTCACGCAGGCACCAGCGACGCTGCCGGTCGGCTCCACGACGAAGTTCATTGCTAGCTTATGGCGACCGCCGCCCGTCACAACAGAACAACCGACCACAACTACCACCACAACGCCTCAAAGAGCTCCGACCACCCAATCACAACAAACAACAAACGATCACAACCATCGGCACGGCAGACAGGGACCAGCGCTTGGTCCCCCGACACCATTCTATCAGTCGCACCACATGCAGGCCACCGGCCTTCTCCAATGGCCGCCTTGTCATATGTCCCGTTATTCGCCTAACAACCGCCGTTAAACCCATATTCATACCACTACCAAGGCGTGTACTCTTACACACAAATACAAATCCACAACAGTCAAAGCGCACCAACACAGGGGACGAATGCACACACTACGAGGCTAACGGAGTCGAATTCGCAGCCAAATCAGCTAATTCACGCATACCCCACACATGCATCGTATATGCCCCAGGCGAACATGTATAACCACATGTACCATTCCGAGTTTTGCCAAGGTTATAACAGCCCATACCACGTGCAGCAGGCGATGGTCGGCGGACCACTCAACTGCCCACATATGAACAACCTCGTAACAAGTATCAGCTCGACATTCTGCCAAGAGCTATTACAGTATGAAATACCACATTCCGCCATGATACCAAACATCCCAAAGTATGACGACACGACGAATCCGGATGAACACATAGATACCTACGAGTGGACTATGACATCCCTCCGGATGGACAAGAGATTCACTTGCACCTACTTCCCGGTCACACTATCGGGAAATGCTAGCAAATGGTTCAAGGCACTATGTCCAGGAAGTATCTCTAGCTTCAAACCGTTGAGGTACATTTTCATCCACAACTTCATGCAATTGAGGAAAGTCAAAGGGAATGCCAACTCTATCATGTCATGCAAGCAAAAGGAGGGAGAATCCATCCAGGCATACTATGATCGGGTTTACCCTAGCGATCCTGAGCGTCCCAGGCCATGAGGAATTTCTAGTCACGTGCGCCTTCGCCCAGGGGCTACTCCCAGGCCCCCTGTCAAAGAAATTGCAAGGAATAGTGCCAAAATCCAGGGACGAGCTCAAATACAGGGTCGAAAAATACCTCAGGCACATCGAGGGAGAAGAACGAAAACAAGCTAATCTAAAAGCCATAGCGAATTCCTACCTCAAACAAGAATCGGCCAGCTCCCACTACCGCCATAGCCATAAGGAGCGCAACGATAGAAGCCATGATAAGAATCACAGACATTCGAGACACTCATCTCGTAGATTCCGCTCGTTCGTCAAGGATGAGCCAAGGAGCCATAAGATGGAAGTGCACGCGGTGGAAAAAACCCCTCAGCGGACAGAAAAAGAGAAAAGAAAATATTGCGAGTATCACAAGAGCAAAACCCACGACACGGGAGAATGCACGATCCTGAAAAAAGAAGTAGAAGACAAGCGACTGAGCGGAGACTTAACAGAAATCGCGAAGACTCTACGATCAAAGTTCGAAGCCGAACGGAAAGAAGGGAGAACCCGGAAGGAGACGAACAAAAAATCAATAAAAAAAGGAAGAAATCTTTGCAATCGCAAGCCCCGGGAACAGAGCTAGACGTCGACTGCCAGCCGATAGCGCCGACGGCTTACCCGAAGACACTCTCAACATAAGTTTCTCACCAGAAGATCCATGAGCGCCCAACTGGGACCCAACATATCCAGTCATAATCCGCACCTTCATACAAGAGCATCAGATCTGGTGAGTCCTAGTCGAAGGAGGTAGCAGCACCAACATCCTCTAGAATAAAAGCCTAAGACCACCAACCCGAGCTCCACTCGTCGGCTTCACGGGACACAAATTATGGCCACTCAGAACCATAAACCTCCCGTTGACACTACTCAGCCATGACCGAAAGGAAAGTGTAACAAGGATAATCGAGTTCTCGTTAGTAAAGCACAAATACGAAGACGTTATGATCCTAGGGTGACCTGCTCTCTTCCGGTTACAAGCCATCCCATCAACAATACATGGTACAATCAAGTTCAGAACGACAAATGGCTCATCGACAGTGACAACTCTAAACACACAAGCAAAACCACTTCGGGCGATCGCCGCCTGGGCCACTGCATACATCCCAAGAAAGCGGTGCACGACGACAGCTAACACCCAAACGGTCAAGCGCAAAAAAAACGACTACCCGCACTAAAAACGAGAGGAAAGGACGCCAACCCCTAAAGAACAGCTCGAGTAGGGGAGGAGGGGTGCGATAGCAACATCACCACCACTCCAGAACCATCAAGCATCATCCTCATGAATACCAAATGAGGTTGGACGTCACTAAGCATGCCTGCACGTCTCAGGGCAGCAAGGGCACAAGGCATGGAAAAGAAGGGAACGAAGGAGCACACGCGTGAAGTCACAGAGTTCGATGGGAGGCACAAACAAAGAGCCACCGGTACCGAAGAAGAGAGGATAGGCAATCACCTCAAAAAGAGAACGTAAACAGAAAAACTCACTACAACCACACGAGTCTGCAGCTGGCATAGGTTTCCCCCAGGGCGGCACCAATTCAGTAACCTCACAAAAAATAGAGCCGACAACGAAAAAGTCATGCAGAAGGAGGAAAAACCACTCAAAAATGATGGCCAAGCGACCAAAACAAGAGAATAGAGGAAATTGAAAATCATCTTCCGAAAGATGACCAACCCAGAAATAGACAATCACGGCCCACACATGAGCATGAACGCTAGAAAGCTTGCATATCTGAGCCGCCGAAGGACACAAGCTAAGGAAGACCAAGAAGAAGAATTCGTCCCAATGACTTGGGAGCCCATTAGCCTAAGCCAATAGCCTTGGTTTGAGGGGGAATCAAGGAAAGGGGCCAAGTGATCAAGCTCCTAAAGAATAATCACACCCCAACTAGTCAAGCTCAAGAGCTAAACCTAGAATAGCAAAGGTTATTGGACTTCCGATACTCATCTGGAAATGTAGACGCCTCCAAGGCACCAAAAAAAAGATGCAATGAAAAGAAAATTTGCAGCAAACGAGTATCGACACACTTTCGCACAAATGGCAAATAATAAAAGACTGATCACCTATGCCACCCAATACAAAACCAATGAGGAAAAAACAATCACCGGCCTCAAAGGCTCATCACTTCCCCCTAATAAACATGTCAACAAGGTCAAGAGAGCCACAGTTCCTGATCACGATAAATAAGAGGCCTTAAAGGATCATAACATTTCCGTCGAAATAAACAATGCCTAAGCTATTAGATCCCAAGGTGACGACCTCGATCTTGCTTAGACAACTAAGGCCGGAGTACAACTCCTCTTGACCCAAGGCTTAGAACAAATCCCCAAAGCGAAAGCTTTTAGCTAGGAAAGAAATTCTAACGAAACGAACCAGCCAGAGTTCGCACCTACAGAGTAACTAAAGCCTCGACTAACAAAGGCTAACATCAGGGGGAGCGTCGAGCCTGTCAGAACCGATGCCCTGGCCCCCCAAAGCTGGTTAAGCAAACAATAAACACGGCCAAGACCCTAAAAGGTCTACACTAACCCCCGGGAGAACCCAAACCAAGGTTGGCCAACACAAACCACCCAGGATGATAAAAAAGAAAAGCGATGAACTAGAAGCAAACTTAACATACAAAAAACACAAAGAACGTATTGTTTAACCCGGACAACCCCCCAGGATTTTAAAATGACCACACAGGGCCAAAGAAGACAGCTAGACATTGTTTTAAAAAAAATTGTTCGAAAAACACCATGAAGATGCAAATATTATCTTAAACATCAAACAACAACAAAAGGTAAAAGCCATCACTTACTGAGGGGTGGAGGAAGGTCCGGCGTGAGAAGCGTCACCTTCAGGATGGCCTTCCTCGGAGTCAGGTTCATCGCACATTTGACGAAGGCCCCCATGTCCAGCTCACCTAGGCGAAGGTAGGAGGCAAAGTCCGTCTCCATGAAAGATTTTATAGCATCATGCATATCCTGAGCATGCTCCGTAGTAGCGTCCGGTTCCCCAGAGACAAACCTCCCGGCGACAAGCTGCTCCCGGATTACCTGCTTGCCTCTCTCCACACCGGCAACCACACATGCCATCTTCATCTGCTTCACCCCAATGCAAATTCAGTGCTCTCAACAAACTTATCCACCACCCGGACAACGCCTTTCTAAAGAAACCAACCCAAGTTCTCCTCTGCAACTTTCCTCCTCGCAACCTCCTCCTCCAGCCTCTTGTGAGAACAATCCACCTGGCCCTACAACACTTTTTTTTCCTCCATTAAGACCTTAATCCACTAAGAAAAACGCTCCACCAACCCATCTAGAGTAGCCACTTGGTCCTCCAAAGAATCGTTTCCCCCCGCCAAAAGATCATAGCTCCTCAAATGACCGCTTCTCCCCCTCCAGCTCCAGCAACCTCTCCCTCAGCTCATCTCGCTCGGCCTTAACTGAAGCTAGCTCGCTAGAACTGGAACCACCTTGACGAAGGCGAGAGGCAGTCACCGTCATATACGAACCAACCTGCGCAGCTGCGTATAAAAGGTTGTTTGAAAGATGGGAATTAGAAAGAACCTACAAGGCCTCGATGGTAGCAGGGGGAAAAGCATGGCAACCCCAGTCATACGCTGCCGCATGCTGTGAAAGGAGAGACTCATGGGTTATCCCCCATACATACACATATATGGCCGACACTTCCAGAGGAGTAGAAGTAGAACCCCCGACAGTATCGCCCCCAGCCAAGAGCGGGATCTTGGGGTCTGGAACACCTTCACGAACAGGGCTTGAGTCAATGCCAAGAACATCCTCACCAAGAGGAGAATTCTCCACCGACTCTTCTTTAGGTTCACTGATGTGCACGGAAGTACCCACTAATTTTAATATTTATAACCTAACAAACTTAGACTAACTATGCACTTGTAGGCAGTGTACCTAGTCAGATTACAGTATAGCTTAGGTAAGTCGGGTGTCAATCACAGGGAACGGTGTTATTAATTAATCTATTTACTACTAAATTAATCTAATTATTAACAAGCTAAAAGGGGGTTTTTATCTGATTTTTCAAGATCAGACTAACTTAACTCAAATTCGATCAATAATTAAAAGACACTCTTATCTAGTTCGAATCCACTTCGTCCTTATGGCTAGCTAATAATTATGGATTATTAAGTTGGTTATTATGATATTAGTAATTTAGGTCTAAATTTACCAATAGTTAATTAATTCATGTAAAACTATGTATGGTCACACACAATTAAACACAGAACCAATTATGTTTCTGAATATGCTATGTAAGATTTATCATGCAAACACAATTATGATCATAATCTATGTTCTCTAGCATAGCAAGGTTAAATACTTCAATTACTAACTAAGACTTTGGTCGATCCTAGCTCTAGCAATTCAATATTCACTAAATTACTAGGTTATCAAGTTTATGCAGTTAACGGTCACTAAGCTACACATAACATGAATTTAAGCAATTAAAGCAACAACTTAAACATGCTAGGTAACAATAAATCAAACACAAGCAATTCACCAACTAAATAAATCCATAAACAATTATGCTATTCATAAGTTTGAAGCTTCATCTAGCTAGATAAGAGTAGCTAGTCAGCTGCTCATAGTAGCAACTAACACATAAACACAACTTAAATAAGAAAACATGTTCATAGGTATTAATCAAATAAACAAATTATATACTTTTACTCTTTTGGTGTTGAAAAACCTTTTTCCAGGACCTTTCCTCTGCTGTAAATCGCCTCCTGGAACCTCTTCCTTTAGCAAAAAGTCTCTCCAATCGTAATGGAGAGGGGTTTATATATTTTCTGGAAAATCACGTTCCACGTCGTGGCAGGAAGCTCCACGGCGTGACTTCAGGAGTTATCCGTATTCGCCAAGGATTCTTTCTTCGCGTACTTATCTTCTGAAAAGATCGATTCCATGTCGTGGTTATCAAGTTCACGTCGTGGCCCCAGTATATTCCGTGAATTACTTCATCTTTTATGCTTCAAGCCTCCAATGTTCCATAAATTGTCACTTCTGGTCCCTTCCTTCTAATATGCTTTATTTTGGCTGCAAATAACATTTTATCCTCATAAGTACCATAATTCTATGCAAATAACCAAAATATTTAATAAAATGTAGATCAATATTGCCTAAAACTACGTATAAATATAGCAATATCAAAATACCCCACACTTAGGCTTTGCTTGCCCTCAAGCAAATCTGCTTATTTAAACTTAAACCTTCATCACTAGCATTACATAGAACAATCCAATTCTAGCTCAGCCATTATGCCAAGACCTCAACGCATGCATTTGTGTCTAAATTTTCCTAAATGACCTCCCCATACTTTAAATACTCACAATCTTCATAAACACTCGCCCACTTCTTTCGAACAATGCTCATTTTATGCAACCCTCCGAATCCATCCTCAGAAAACTTTCTAACCTCAAGATATTTTTGTAAAGCTACCCAAGCATACATAAACTAAAGAATTACAACTTTTTAGAAGATACCACAACTTGGAGCTCTTGAATTCTTCTTTTCTTTAATGTTTGATCTTTCACTTCATTGAATTCACTTCTTTCATAATTTTTGGCATCTTTGACTTTTGATTCTTTAGAACTTTGATCTTCTGATCTTTAACTTTGATAGCTCCAAAATTCTTCAAGAATTTTTTACTTTTCGGTAATTTCTCTCTTTTTTTTACATGTATAACTCACTTTTTTATATCACTCAAAAACCTACATGCTTAAGAAGGGGCGCTTAACTTCAACCTTTATTGGTTAAGACATATCTTTCCTGGATACATTTCAGGTTTAGGCTGCTAAACATGTTGCATTCCTCAAACTAAGCAGGGTCATGTTTTTGTTCCATGATTTCACTAAAATAAGGGAGGTCACAAATGCATTATAACGTATATCGGCTCAACTAAACATTTGAGCTCTTATCGGATCATTCCACTAGCAAGTACAGTTCAAATTATTACTACTAGATCCAATTAATAAAAACTTAAAATTTACCAAATTATCTAGCAATTTACTTTTTCTACCCCTACCCCACACTTATTTCATACAATGCCCTCATTGTATGCTTAAAATAATATAAAAATTAAGAGAA